TGGGGCAGCTTGTAAAGGGCCACACTCAGAGTCCAGGAGAGGGTGGAGAGTTGGGTCTTAGTCTCCCAGGCTGGAATGGAAGCAGTGGGACCATACAGCATACTTGGGACTGTGCTGAAGCCAGCCAGGGGTCTGGGGAGCCCAGAGGCAACCCTGAGGAGTCTGGGTGGGGGCCAGAGACAGCAGTGGGCACTGGCACATGATTCACAGGCTCATGAGCTGGTGAGGCGGTGAGCTGGGTCCCCTCCACACACCCATTAAGCCTGGGGTCCTGGCAGAGCAGGGCAGATGTAGTGGGGAACCTAAGTTCTTGCCTCTGGGGCCTTAGCTCCCCAACCAGACAGCAGTCCCCTGCAACCCCTCCCCACCTCTCACCCTCCAACCAAGTACCGTTGCTTGGGCTCTGCTGCCACCCTGTGGGCATGGGGGTACTGCACTGGTGAGCATGCAGACACCGGGCAGTGGGACTCCAGCCCCATGGTAGGCGGCAGCTCTTGGGTTTGGAGCCCCTTAATTTCTTGCCAATACCAATCTTTTAACGACTTTGACTTGTCTTAAACACAGCAGCTTGAGGGATCCTATGTCTGATCATGCCCTCTGCTCAAAACCCTCTCATGGGGAGCTACTCGCAAGAGTCAAATTTTCAAATTTTATGGAATTTTGCAATTCATTTGTAAAACGTTCTTGAAAATTAAAATTTTGTTAAAAACAAAGATAGTATTAAAAGCAAAGCACTTCCTATGTTAAGGTTTTGCTACAGTCTGTATACTTTCATTCCTTCCATCTGTGGGATCTGGGGGGTTGAGACCCTGTACAATCGTGTGCTCTGTCTACCTGTCTTCAGGACTCCGTGTTCAGTGACCTCATGTTGACAGCTTTCAGCCAGCCACCAAGCCAGTGTTTACACCACAGAGATCGGCAAACGCCGCGGATCAGGCTGAATTTATTGCTGACTTTCTAGACCAGTGCCATCCAATAGAAACAGAGTACAAACCACGTATGTGATTTCAAATCTGAGTAGCTAGATTTAAAACAGTAAAAGGAAACAGGTGAAATTAAAGTGTATTTTATTTAACCCAGTATGTCCAAAATATTGTCATTTCAACACGTAATCAATATAAAGTAACTAATGATATATTTTACATTCTGTTTCATACTAACTTCAAATTCTAGTGTGTATTTGACACTTAAAGCACATCTCAATTCAAACCAGCCACATTTCAAGTGTTCAACAGCCAAACTGTCCGGTGGCTGCCATATTGGACAGCACAGGTCTAGATTTAAGGAATCAGTAGAGAAAATAATGCGGATCAAATTTAATAGTAGTGCTGAGGCTGAGAAATTTCAATCCAATTAACACAGTTTGTTCCAACGATGAGAAATCAGTAGGCCATGTACAAGATTTAGTGACAGACTATCGGGAAAAGAGTAGTGTAGTAGGCTGAACAGTGGCCCCCACCCCCCAAATATTTCAGCTCCTAATCCTTAGAATTTGTGTATTTTTTCACTTTGCGGATGTGACTGAAGATCATTACATGGGCAGATTATTTTTGATCGTTCAGGTGGGCCCTAAATCCAATCACTAGTGTCCTTGTGAGGGACAGGCAGAAGGGGATCTGGTACCCACAGAAGAGGCAGTCACGTGGCCATGGAGGCAGAGACAGGAGTTACCAGGCCACAATCAAGGAACATCAACAGCCACCAGAAGCTTTTAGAGGCAAGGACTAGAGCCTCCAGAAGGAGCGTGGTTTGAATTGTGATCTCAGCCCAGTGATCATAATTTTGGATTTCAGACCTCCAAACTGTGAGAAATAAATTTCTGATATTTTAGCCACAAAGTTTGTGGTAATTTGTTACAGGAGCCCTGGAAAACTACTATCAGCAATGGGATCCAACTCCATTTGCCGTATCACGGTTGAATTACAACCACAGGCACGCTACAAATAAAAGAAATCTATCAAAAAAGATCAACAAAAGGCTTCTATAAGGAACACTTGGCTATACAGAGCTAGAGTGTACTGTGTATTTTATTCGTAATTTCTGTGCTACACATCTTTCATGTTGGCACAATTTAGAACAGCCATGTGTGTGAGAGATCTATACCAGGTCTTGTATCCTCAGCACCCTGCACAGAGCCTGGCACACAGTAGGACACTCATATTTTTGAATGAAGGGGACTTTGGGCCTCAACTTCCCCCAGCACAGGAGGCTTGGAGGAATGCGATGGGGTACCTAAGAAGGCAGGGCTGGTGCCAGATGTTGTTAGAGCACCTATTGTGTGCAAGACTGGGGTGAGGGCAGAGTCAGATTCATGGAGTCAGGTACGGAATCCCACAGGCTTAGGGACTACTCAGAAAATTAGTTTAGTCCAGAGATGGGATGCTTAGTCTCAGCGCTGGGCAGAGACTAAAGCCAGTGATACAGCAGGACCTATAAGGGCCGAAGCCCCTTCCCCTAGTCTCTCTGTCCCTTATTCCTGCAGAGCAAAGGGCCTTTTTGGAACTAGGAAGAGCCCAGGTGTGATTGTCACAGCTACTGTAGAGTTTCAGCTCCCCAGGCCTGCATATGAGCTCCCATTCTATGCCTGAGTCAGGGGCCTGGGCCCTAGAGTGGGAGGTATCCCCCTCTGCCATGTAATCTGGATGACTTTGAGCAAGTTACCATCCCTTTCAGCTCTAATGTCTCCTCTCTGGGGCAACTGTGGACCTGTCTACCCCCGCAGGCCCAACTAGCTATGGAGCATATGGAGGCTCTCCCCCAGTGCCCTTCATATCTTGTCACCGATTTGCAGGACTGAGCCCCAGCCGGTCACCTGCTCCCTCTAGAGTCTCTCTTCTCCTCTCTGAAATGGGCAGGTAAGTGACTTGCCAGGTCTCCACAGCAAAGAATTGGCCAGACTGGTTTGGGCACTGGAAATCAATGAGGGAGACTCCATACCCAAGCTGACCAGAATCTGGCAGCCAGGTCCAGGACCTGGAGGGACTAAAACCCTCTGAGCCCCAACCCCAGTCAACACAAACACATCTGGCTGACACCTGTAACTGTATCCCACAACTCTGTAGTACACATCTTGAAAGCAAGGACCAAGACTTTTGCTCACTGATGAGGCCACAATGAGGGCTTGTCCAGAACATAGTAGGAACTCAAGAATTTGCTTAACGAGCAAAACCACTTGCCTATCTTTTACAAAGGCCAGGCTCTCCCTGCCTTTGCTCACCCTGTCCCTCCTTCACTGGCACATACCCTATCTGATCACACCAAGGGGAAAGGGCTTCAAAATTCAGCAGGGTATGATCCTGGCTCCTGAAGGACCACGGCATCCTGGGCACCTGGACACGTGGTCCATCCTCCTTGGAGTGGGAGAGAGCACAGTAAGCGGGCAAGTTCACCTTCGGCCCTCAGCCCTATTATCTCCCGTGAGGACCTGGATGGGCAAAGGACTCTGTCTGGCCTCCCCAGCCTGGGTTCAGAGTTAAGAAAATAAGGGGATTAAGGAAGCACCAAAGGCAAGTCCTCTCTTATAACAGTATCAGACAACTGTTTCAAAATATATTAGATTTGGTTTTTATTGTAGAGCACACATATCAGGGCAAAGTGCTGCACACACAACTACAAATCATTTTTGGGAAAAAAGCTGTAAGAAAAATAAACCTGCAACTGCTTTAGTTATGCAGTCCCGACTTGAATCCACACTGGCAAAGGAGTTCTGGCCCCTGAGAGGGGGCTTCTTGATGACGGCTGCCCCAGACTTCTGCAGCCTCAGGCCTGGGCCTCTGTAAGACAAGGCCCCCTGGGGTGGTGGCAGCCTGGGGACTGGGAAAGCCTCTGCTCTCAGCAGGCCCAGGTCTCGGCCATGGCTGGCAAGGAGACATTCCTAATGAATCTAGATCATCAAAACCTTGCAAGGATCTGAGTAGGTGGGATCTGCCAAAAACTTTATTATCTTTTTCCTTTTATTACTTCTTAAAAGCCCCTTCCCCAGCTCCCACGCCCCTGAGGCAGAGGAGGCGCCAACCCAGTCTGCAGACCTGAGCTCTGGCCTTGGATGCATGCTACAGGCAGACAAAGCAGGTGGGCAGGCACCTTCCTATGGGGATGACATGGAGAGAAGGCCCCAAGCTGGCCAATGAAGGAGAAAGGAAAGGGTTAGGAAAAAGTCTGGAGATCAAATGAAAAAATAACTCAAAAACAAAAGAAAACAAAAACCCTACCACACACCACAACAATTTTCCATACCCCAAATGCTAGACTTGGAAGGACACCAGTCCCTCTAGCTAGAAACAATTCCTAAAACTGCCCCAACATGGTAAGTCTAACTGTTCCATATAATCACACGCATATGCTTGAAAGAAGCAACCCAGCAAAGACGTGTGCTCTTGGCAAGAAAGGTCAGGACCACTGTAGCCAGCCCCTCAGCAGCTCAGGGACCCGTGGGCAGAGCAGGCCAGTGAACATGGAGGAAGCCCGGAGCTCAGCCAATAGCTTTGGGGTGGCAGAGGACTTTTTAAACCTCCACCCAGTCATCCTGAACAACTCTGCTACAGGAGGAAGAGGGTACTTGTGTAGGCTTCCAGACCCTGGAGAACAGGTGAGAGGTGGGAGGACAGCAGGCCTCCAGCAGAACCAGTAAGGAGCATGAGACCTCAACCCAGGACGCAGACACAGGTGGGAGGGGAAGGGACAGAAGACTGAACTTCATTTACAACACTGAGAAGATTTACATTTAAAGCAAAACAAGAATTTTCTTAACCAAAACATTTTGTTGCTTTTAAATAAACCCAGCCTGACAGCCCCACTTGAGGACAGCTGCCCCCCACATCTCTACTGGCCACTCCAGCGTGAGCTTCTGTCCCCTACAGATGCCAACAGCCTTTCCATTTTGTAGGAAAACCGAGAACACGAGAATCAGGTCCCAGCCAAATCTGTTCTTCAGCCTTAACAGGCAACAAACCCGAGGAAAAAAATTCAGGATCAAAAAAACAAAAACCAAAAAATGAAAACAAAAACCAAACAAAAACAAAACGGAACACCAAAAAACCGAAACGAACAAAAGGAGGGGGCAGCTACATGAGGAGTAACCAAAGTTCCCAGGGGTGCACGGCACGCCTCAGTGCCTCCGCATCTTCACCTTGCGGGCGGGGCTGCCTGCCGCCTCCGAGCAGTCCTCCCCGGACTCATAGGACTTGCGCCAGTAGTTCTCAGAGCTGAAGCTACTTCTCCGACGGTGTGTGGGCAGCAGCACCGAGCGCCGGTTCTCTTCCTTGTCCATTTCTAGGATCCGAGGCCTGCAAGGGAAGGGGTGGGCGGAAGCGTTCCCTCACACCTCTGTGTCTGTGCTGGGCCCTCACCATCTGCAGGATGGTCCGCTCCAGCTCGGCGGTTCTCCAGGAGGGACGGTAATGGCAGAAACACTGGCATCGTCTCTTTGCCCACTAAGTGCAGTGGCCATACCTAGTCTCTGAAACACTTCCCAATTACCCTGGGGGGTCTGCTGAGTCAAGGACACCGCCAAGGCTGCTGGACAGGAGGCGGACTTCCCTAGTACAGCCTCAAGGCCCTGCCCGATCCCGCCATCACCTCCCTGCACTTTGCTCACCCACTCCACTAGGCCCTGACCAGCAAGCTTTTCCTGCCTCAGGGTTTCAGCCCAGTACCTCTTGCCTAGATGGGCCTTCACGTATAGCTTCCTTATCCTTCTCATCTCAGCTTAAACACATCCAAAGAAGTCTTCCCCAACCCTTCTGAAATGGGTCCCTGGTCTGCTATCTTCCATATCCCGAGCTTCCCTCCTAACATTTAAGTACTCATTAGAGCATTTGTCTGGGTGGAAGGAACAAGGGAAGTCATGGGAAGCCCAAAAAACCTTCCCACTTGTCAGAATCTCAGCCCAAGCCCTGCTCTCTGAGGGTGCAGGCAGCTGGTCACGGGCTAGGTGGGAATGCCGCCAATTCCACTGACCTAGAAGCAGACATTAAGGCTTGGAAAAGTGGTCAATGCCACGCTTCTAACCACATACCCCAGGTTTCCCCCACCTATTTCACCCTGAGGCTGGGCCATGGGGCTGCTTTGTTGGCCCTTGTTGAAGGTTCCTAAGCTGAGTACCTGTGGGCAGCATCAGGGTCTGCCTTGCGATGGGACCGCTTGGGTTTCAGAGCAGGGTCCCTGTTGTTTCCCGACAGACGATCTGAAGCATAGCTGGGTGGTAACACAGAGCTGCTCAAGGACTTTGTTTCCAACCGGGGTGCGTCTAATCTCGTCCTGCAAAGGAAACACGCATGGGGTCACCAGTGGACCTTGGGGAGCGAGTGGGCCCCATGAGACCCATTCTCTGGCCAGGGAGAGGGGAGCCAGCAGCCTCTGCTCTGTGCCTCATTTTCTTCATAGTTCAACTAGGTCTGGCTGACTTGCAAACACCTGCCTTCTTACGTTCAGGCTTAGGAGTAGGAAGAGGAACATTTCTGTTTGGAGACCTCTAGTGATAGGGATCTGCTACACCAGGGGAAAGATCCAGGGCTCGCTCTCTCTCAGTTGGACAAGCAGCCCCACTCACCCTACTCCAGCCCAGAGGTTCTCCAGGGGCTTCTACTCCACCTGCCAGAGTCCTGAGGGCCCCAAAATACTCCAGCAGATGCCCTCATCCTTCCTGAAATATCAAGACAGGAAGGAAGGTTCCCCTGGTCCAGGCCTACAAAAGGAAAAGAGACTCTCCCACTCTCTTACACAGTAACACTAAAGCTATGGGAGAGCCAGGAAGTCCAGGCCCAACTCAACATTCACACACTTGGCTCTGATCTCACCACAGCCACCTGGCAGCTTCTGCTGGTTACAGGATGCTAACCAAGTCAAGGCCGAAGGGCTTTTGAAGACAGAATCCCCGCTGAGCACTAGGCCTGAGTTTTAAGGAACATGCTGCCCAATAAAGGGAAAACATGGAAGTGTGGACGAGGCAGTGATCAGAGTCCTTTATAAAGCCAGGCCAGGAGGAAGTTAAGCCTGGGAAACCTCGAAGAAACCCCAATTCCTGTGTGATACAGAGAAGGCTGGCAAGTCAGGCTGTACCAGCAAGGGGCAGGAGAGAAGCCTGGTTTGGTGAGTGATGGGAACACATCTGGCAGAAGGCCCTAAAGGCACCCTTCCTGTAGGCAGCTGTGCACAAAATAGTAACTTGGTTCTGAGGAAGGTGCTGTGGTCAGAGCAGAGCACCTTCACAAGAACACTGCAGGGAAGACAGCAGGAGGGAAATCCGAGAGCTGCCCTGGCCTAACCCACACAGTGTTCTTTTAACAACTGCATGCAAAACTCACAGATCCCTCTACCTACCTCCAACTGGCTGACCTGCTGTAAACAGATGGGGAAAACTAGATCCCAAAGGTTATGGTAATTCACGGGTCCTGGAAGTCGTGGAAGAAAAGTTTAAGCCCAGGTGAGATTCCAAACAAGCCTAACAAGCTGGAACAACAGGGCTCTGACCCCGGGCAACGGTTTTTCTCCTGAAGCCAGCAGGGGGCGCCTTCTAGCTGGGAACCAACATTCTAACACCCTCAGGCCCAAAGTGGTGGGCAGACCAGCAGAGCAATTTCGCCTGCCTGCCTGCTTTGGCCTTATGTACAGGGAAGCCAGAACGGTCAGCTGTACTCACTAGCCCACCAGTCTCGGCCTCCACTCTGGGCCCTTCAGGCTCAGGGAACCAGGACCTATCTAGCAGCAAAAGGAAGAAGATCCAACCCTAATGGTGCCACTTAGAATCCAGGCTAACCACCATCCTTTTCTAGGCCTTCCCCATCTAAACAAAGTAAGGAGAAATGTGGCTGTCCCTAGGTCCTCCTTCAGTTCTAAGAGTCTAGAAACCAACTGGCCTCCTTCAAGGCTAGGACTTTCAATATTTGTGGGGGGGTTGGCGCCTAGGTGGCTTAGCTGGTTAAGCGGTGTGCCTTTGGCTCAGGTCATGATCCTAGAGTCCTGGTATGGAATCCCACATCGGGGTCCCTGCTCGGCAGGGAATCTGCTACTCCCTCTGACCTGCTCATGCTCACCATTTTTCTCTCTCCCCAAAATAAATAAAATCGCTAGGGCACCTGGGTGGCTCAGTGGGTTAAGCCTCTGCCTTCGGCTCAGGTCATGATCCCAGGGTCCCGGGATCGAGCCCCACGTCCAGCTCTCTGCTCAGCAGGGACCTGCTTCCCTTCCTCCCTCTGCCTGCCTCTCTGCCTACTTGTGACCTCTGTCCGTCAAATAAATAAATAAAATCTTTAAAAATAAATAAAATCACAAAAACAAGTTTAAAAAATATTTTCTTAAAAGATTTTATTTATTTACTTAAAAAGGGGAGGGGGTTACAGAGGGAAGGGAGAGAAAGAGGGAGGGAGGGGGAGAAGCAGACTCTGCTGAGCAGGAAGCCAGACTGGATTCCAGACCTGGAGGTAATGACCTGAGCTAAAGGCGCACGTAACCGACTGAGCTACCCAAGCACCCCTCACGTCTAAGATTCTTGAGAGGGGTTAAGGGGAAGAGATGGTGCCAGGTAACACCCAGACACAAGGATGGGAATCAGAAATCACTGGAGCCCAAGGACCTCCTCTTTAGCAGGTCAGGCCTCATCCCCCCCATATGGGTGTAGAGCCGCTGGAGAGATTAGGGAGACAGGTATGAGACTAGACAGGCCAAGAACACAGACTGGCTCTGCTCCTCTCTCACTGTCTGAAGGAGGGGAAGGGGTTCTGCACATGACAATACTGCTGCCATCAGAATGCAGCCTCAAGAGAAGAGATATCAGGAGGTGGCCCTACTAAAAAAATCCCTGCCTCCTGTACCTACTTCTGAGACAGTATAAGCTCTGGGGCCCAAAAGTGCTCCTGGGGCTTTACAAGTACATCTCAGAATAGCTGGAGGAGTTTCTGCCCTCCCTCCATTTCCAAAAAGCTACCATGCTGCAGGAAGCCAGGCTAGAGCAAGATCCCAAACCCAGTGCTCACTGGTAGCTTAATTTCTGAGAACAGCCCTCTTAAAAGGCAGCTAACTTTCAAGGAGTATGCTAGACTCCTCAGGGTTCAGCAAACATATCCATAAACTTCTGAAGTCAGAAGTTCTAGTAAGGGCTGGGCCTGGGTCTCCTCAGGTGACAAGAGGCAAAGAGACCTGGCTTACAGATCTGAGTCAACATCCAGGGGTTACAGAAAGGCACCCCAGGTATATGAGGTCACCCAGGCATCAGGACACCCCCAGGACAAAAGCAGGGATTGGACAGAGGTACTTGGGAAGCCAAACCAAAGGGAGGATGACTGAACATTAGTATTAACACATTAACATGTGACCTGAGGATGAAGAGAGGGGGCTGACCATCCCAGGAGCTCTCCTCATGTTCCTTTATTACTCACTGAATCCTCTAATCTTCTGGAGAAGTTGCTGAGGAGGACTATTCCCACTGTAAGGATGGGAAAGCAATACTAATTGGAGACCAAGTCGTTGGCCTAAGCCACACAGCCACTATCCCATGAAGGCCTCTGAAGGTGGGCTCGCTGCACTGTAACAAAACAGACTGCTGTCCAGGCAGACACCATTTCTAGGAGACCAGGAACCAGCCTGCGCCTCAGGCCAACCATCCCTCAACTTCTGGCTCCACCCTCACACCAAGCACCCTTGCGCTTACAAAGCCGGACAGTCCCAACGGAACAGAGAGGCAGCGTGGCAAGCCTGTCTGAGCACCCCTTGTCTACTGAGTGACCTGGGCCTCTAGGTCTAAGCTCCAGCACCAGAGTGTCAGATTCCCACAAAGCACAGACCTGTACCATTGTCTCTCCTGCAATGGCATTCAGACCTCCTGCCACCACTCCCCATCTTCCACCAAACTCCTTCCAACAACACACGTCGCTGCCTGCAAGGCAGTTCTGACCCTAGCAGGCTTCCACACCAGTCTCAAAGAGCCTAAAAAGCATGCGAGGGGTATAACCCAAACAGAGGGCACCCAAGGCCCATGGTCCTAGCAAGGCTTCCAGAAGACCTCCATACCCAGGCCTGCAAGATAACGAGGCCCCAAGGGCCTCTCCAAATCATTCAACCTGATTACCAACATGTCATACCACATACTGGTAACTCAGGGCTCCAGAAGGGAGTGCTGCACAGATGATAGCCCAACAACAGGGCCAGCATCGTGGGTGCCCAGCAAGCTCCCGTTCAGGCCTGGTAAGGTACTGATATCCTCCACAACACCAGGCAGTCAGACAACAAGCTTGCTTTCCCTGGCCTGGGCCAGTAAACAACCTATCTCCAGGTTCCCTTTCCTCTCATTCGCTGTGCCTGTACTCATATCTTACCTTGACTGGACACAGCCTTCCTCATCCTCTACCCCTGACTCATCAAATTCAGAGGCAGTATGGTGAGGAAGGGGCCAGGAGAAGCAGGCACGGCATTCTTTGATTTAACCATCCCTAGCACCACCGCTGCCCCAATTTATGTGAAAACACAGGGCTCAAGTAACCAGCTTGTCTTCAGTGAAGACAGGGCACGGCCGGCCAGGAGCCTAAGCCAGTTTCATCTCCAGGTGGTCTTACTGCTCTCACACTCCTTGTGCAGGATAAATGCACATGCACAAACATACTCGCTGGGCCAGGAAACTGAGGTGGGCTAACTCTTGGCCCAGGGGATGAGAATCTTGTGAGACAAAGCAATGGCACATGTCTTGATGGGGGCAATGTCTCAGGCCAAGTCAGGGAAGCCAAGAGCTGGCCACCCCTGGCCCGAGGGACGAAGCCCAGAATGCACCCTTCATTCCCACCCTCCCCTCATCACAGAGCCTCATACCTGGGCTACTCTGCTTTCAGGAACAGTCTCCCCCTGACCCCTGCAAACCCCTGGTCTGAAGGACCAAATAAGCCATTTAGCTCAGCTGCCTACAATCTCTCTCATGCAAATCCCTCACCCCACTGCTTCCTGGCACACACCAACCTTGGTTAACATTTGGCAAATGAACCTCTAGCTGCTCTTCCCAGCTTCAACCCACTGCGCTGAGCTCCCTTAGCCAAAAGCAAAGAAATGGGCGATTAACACTGCCTTGAGCCACTTTATCTGATTAACTGGAGATTAGCTGTGCAGGAATATAAGGTCTTATAAGTAGACCAGGGCAGCCCGGGTTGTCTCCTGAAGGCCAAGGGACTGGGTGCCCTGGCCACCAACTGAAGGCTCTGAAGGCCCACAACCCATCTCTGATGATCAAGTGTTGATCCAAGACCTCCTTCCCACACCTCCCCGCAACTACAGAGATCCTCTATACTTTGTACCTTCTAGCCTTTGAGCTGTTTTTGTGTTTCTGAAGTATTTTTATTTAATTGAGAGAGAACGCACACATGGAGGGGCAGAGAGAGAAAAGCAGACTCCCATTGAGCAAGGGAGCCTGATGCGTGCTGGGCACGAACCCAGGAGCCTGGGATCATGACCTGAGCTGAAGGCAGACACTAACAGGCTGAGCCACCTAGTAGTCCCAAGCTTACCACCTCTGCCTGGCTGGCAATTTCTAGCTCAGGAGTCAGATCCACCAATCCTGTCCCAACCCATCCCCAACCCCTACCAAGCTGGATATAACTGCTAAATCTGTTTGCTGCTGCTCCTGTTTGCTGGGCTCCAGCAGATACACTTAGTGGTTTTAAGACAGTGTTTACTCTGGTGGTGGTGTACTAGCATGTAAAATGCCAGCTCCGTTACACACCAGCAGACCCGGGTTCAAGGTCTTCCTCAGCCATTTACTGGCTGTGACCCCGAAAGGATTGTAGTACTGAGCTGCAGCCCAAGAATTCCACTCATGGGGAAACTCTCAGGTGATCACTCCCAGCCTCGAGTCTTCTCTGTGACAAACAATGGTGCCACACACATGAAGACTCACATTCAAAGATGCCACACTGTGTTGAATCAAAAAGCACTTGGTGGCTACCCACCCATTTCCCACCATGAGGCGTTTAGGACTGTCGCAGCTCTGACTGACCCGAGCTGGTGACAGAGCCCCTAGGCCCTCCCACAACAGTTTGTGCAATTTTTATCCAAACTTAAGAGAAGGCAAGACTGGCTCCATCCCCTCTGCCTATGGAGCAGGGCCAGGCTCAATGCCCAGATTCCACCCACCCAGATGTGGACTCACCAGCAAGCGAGTCAGCCAGGTGCCCATCAAGACCACATCCTTAATGCCTGGGCAGTGCCTGGGCCAGGATGCTCCCTTTTTCATCCCGTCACCAGCTCGTCCTTTTCCAAGACCAGCCCATATAGCTACTCTGGAGCTGCTCCTCATTCACCTGCATTGTCCCCCTCTGGTATCTCCTCTGGGCTGGGCCTCAGTGCTGGGCCTGGATAAGCAGGGTCCCCATCCCCACAGAATGCAGATTTGGAAATTCACAATGGCAAGTATATGGGCTCTAACAGTCTAAAGAGGGAGGGGATGCGCTGACAGGGCTACAGGTATGTGTCTGATGCTTTCTGCATGTCAAAACAGTCAGCACCTGAGCCTTGAGGGATGGCTAGGTCAACCAACTTTCACTGTGCATAGGTGGGTCATTTGCAGGGTAGGATGTGGAGGAAGATGAACATGTTGATGGGAAAACATTTCCAACAGAGGTCACACTGTTGCAAGGATCCAAACCCGTGGACCACACTAGGAGCTGCAATACTTTAATGTAAGTGTGGAGGACAAGACAACAAGGAAAACTCCCAAAAGCTTAGGCTGGATGGACAGGCAAAGCCCAACAAGGAGCCTGGTGTTTATCCTGGGCCTCTCATCTGGTCCTGAGCTGTCTCTCTACAGCTGGGCGGTATACTAGCTCAGCTGACCCAGGGAAGCGGAGGGCCATCCTCCCATTCCTCTCCAGCCCTCCCATACCAAAGCTCTGTGCTTCTGCCGTCTAACCCAGTCTGTGGTTGGCTCCTGGGCCCATTCAAGTTGGTAGATGACTGATGCTCTTTGACCTTTCAACAGTCATTCTCCAAAGTCAGACCACTGCCAGGAGCCCAGCTGGCCGAAGAGCTTCCAGGGGGACCTGGTTAACAGTGCAGGCTCCTAACTCCACTGAGAAGCGTCCAACCCAGTCAGCCTGAGATGTCAAGTAAGGGAGCCACTGCCGAAGAGGAAGGAAACAGCTGGAAGAATGACCTGACACTCCAGCTATGGCCACTTCATTTGCACCTCCAGTGAAGATTTCCCTAGGATAAGCTATTTTGAGAGCCTTGCAGGAAACACCCGGGAAGTTGATGCTCTGGTTTTGTATCACCCTGGGAGTTCCTCTCCAAGCTCCTGGCCTAGGTGGGGCACTTATCCCTGGCTGCAGCTGAAGTGCCAGTATAGCCCAGGAAGAAATGACTGGGGAGAAGAGGCCAGAAGGGAGCTACACTCTGGACAGCATCACTTCCGTGTTCTGGGTTTTGGCCTGTGCTGGGAACCACAAGAAAATAAAGCAGAAAGGCAGATAAAAACCCTTCTTCTGGGGCACCTGGGTGGCTCAGTGGGTTAAAGCCCCTGTCTTCAGCTCAGGTCGTGATCCCAGGATCCTGGGATCAAGCCCCGCATCGGGCTCTCTGCTCAGCGGGGAGCCTGCTTCCTCCTCTCTCTCTCTGCCTACTTGTGATCTGTCTGTCAAATGAATAAAATCTTTAAAAAAAAAAAAAATCCTTTCAGAACTTCTACATTTCAAAGATCCCTTTAAAAAAACAAAACAGGGGCACCTGGGTGGCTCAGTGGGTTAAAGCCTCTGCCTTCGGCTCAGGTCATGATCCCAGGATCCTGGGATCGAGCCCCACATTGGGCTCTCTGCTTGGCAGGGAGCCTGCTTCCCTCTCTCTCTCTCTCTGCCTGCCTCTCTGCCTACTTGTGATCTCTCTGTCAAATAAATAAAATATTTAAAAAATAAATAAATAAAAAACAAAACAAAACAAAACAAAACAAAACAAAAAAAAACCCTTCTTCTGATGAATTCTGGGAATATTTGTAGGCTAGAGGCCAGACACTGCCAGCTCCTGTACAGACTCCCGTCTGCAGCTCCCACATGTGCCTGGTGCTCTGCCTGCACCCCAGGATCGTCCTTTAGGTCTCTATCATTTCCATGCTACACAGGTACAACCGATACTCGAAGTTTTGACTTGACAAAGTGGTGGAGACATGCCAAAGAGACTTCATCCACCACATTATGTTGGCATACTAAGACCCAAAAGGCCAAGATGCTTTCAGTTATAAACTGAAGCTAAAAAGATGGTAAGTCAGGGGTGCCTGGGTGGCTCAGTGGGTTAAGGCCCTGACTTTGGCTCAGGTCCTGGGATCGAGCCCCACACTGTACTCTCTCCTCAGCGGGGAGCCTGCTCCCCCCTTTCTCTCTGCCTGCTGTTCTGCCTGCTTGTGATCTCTGTCAAATAAATAAATACAATCTTTAAAATAAATAAAGGATGGCAAACCAGAAAATAAGGATGTACTTAAAAGAGAGAGAAAGAAAAAAGAGAGAGAGAGAAAGAACTCCTAATGGCCAAAGCTGGCATAGCTGGAGCATAAAACAAATACCCATAAATTCATATTGATGTAAGTAAACAACTGAATAAAGACGTAAATGAATGAAGAAGAGAAGAAGAAACAAAATCTCCTTGCAGAAGAATTCCAAATAACTTGGGTGGCGACTCCCTGCTCAGGGAGCTGGAGCTAACTCCCCACTGCTTATGGGCCAGCTGCGCACAGAGACTTCCCTCTTACCCCAGGGGAAGCAGCAACTCTAGAGAGCAGAGCGCAGCCAGTGGACACAACCTCAGCCAGGTGTTCCTAGTCACCGTCAACAGTGAGAAGTCCTGTGCCCTGGATAGGACGGAAGACGAGCGGGCTTCACCTCTGTGGTCTTCCTCCCCCCAAACCCCGAGCCCCAGTAGAACCAGGAGAAAAATTCCAGATTCCAATGGAGAGATAGTCTACAAAATATCTGACCAGTGATATCATGAATAAGGCAAGTCCGAGAAAGTGTGACAGCCAAGAGGAGCCTAAGGTGATTGACAACTAAATGTAATGTGGGGTCCTGGCACAGAAGAAGTATGTCACAAGAAGACTAAGGAAATCCCAATACATAGGAACTTCTGTTAATAATAATATATCAATTTGCTTTCTTGACTATAACAAACATATCTTACTAATATGTTAATATCGGGGAAGTGGTGCTTGGAGTACAAAGACTCTACTATTTTTACGATTTTCTGTAAATCTAAAACCGTTCTAAAAATAATGTTTATTTAAATTAAAAGAAGAAAAAAAAAAAAGATGGCAAGCTATAGGACACTGTGTTCTAGCCAGTGCGGAGGGTGGGGGGGTGTCCCGGCAGTGGTTCTGCTCTCCTCACTGTCATCTGTACAACCCTGGACAATCATCTAGCCTCTTGCACTCCACTCTAAAGACAAGCCTGTCTTGACCCAGCATCCGCTTGGTTCAGTCCATTCATCCCATGAGCAGAAAACCAGAAGTGCGGAAGAGGCCAGGACCGGTGATATTGGTCAGTATATCCCTAACTTCCTGGCCAGAGAGGAGAGACAGCCACAAGCTATACACCTGCTAAACACTGCAGCCTAACCTCCCACCTTCGTTTCCTCTTCTCACTCCCTGCTCCTCCCAGAAGTGAAAACCCAGGCATTTTTAAAGCAGGCTGCTAAGGTGCAGTCTAAAAATAATCAGCAAGATCACATGTGACAAATCAGAACCAAAGAGATGGGGGAAAAGAGAGGGGGAAGGGAGGTCTGGAAGAGGGGTCCCTAAATCTTGTCTCAAGACTGTATCCATAAACACAGGGAGCATACGCTTTTGCTCAGCCCCCAACTCCCTAGTTAAACAACCACAGAACTTAATTTTCCAATGAAGAAAAGACAAAACAGCTTTTTCCTCAAAGAATTAAAATCAAAAAGTAGGAGACCTGATAGCCTTTTCCTCTCCCAGGCTTCATGCTGCTATGCTATTGATACAGAGGAGCCAAGTTCTAAGGGAATCCAGACCTACACCTCCAGACAGGCCTGCAGGTGCCAGACACCGGGGCACTTACTTCCTGAGGATGATGACCGCTCTGCGCTCCTTGATGTCCTGAGGCCGTATGCAGTGAGTGATTTCATCAGCAGCATATCCACTGAAAATAAACACAGAGCATATGAGCTTGGAAAGTGAACAGACAACCGAAGTTCCCAGAGGGTAAAGAGAGAGAAATATGGTCCAGGTCTTATGGACACCGCTGCCATGTTATTTTGAGAGGTTCAAGGATCTACGTGGAAAGGGAATTCATCTGTTAAGATCCAGGATACACCACTCAAGAAAAAAACCTGGGATGAGGCAAAGACAAGCCTGAAGGTATAAACCACAGCAGCAATCTCTCCACACAAGCCAAGAGCCCTTCTTTTACAGGGCTCCCAAGAAGGTACACCCTTAAGCACTATGGAGGCAGCTAGAGTGACTCAGGCCATACCTTGGTGAGAAGACAAGAACTCCACCTCCTCCTCTTCTCCGCCCCCCCCACCCTTCAGCACAAAGAGGAAGCCTAGGCAGACACAGACAGCCCTGAGTCACCAGAGAGAACTAAGGCTGCAATGCTTAAAAAGACAATTTGTCTACTTGAAAACAAGCTTTCAAAAACCTCCATTTGGGGGGATCCAAAAATCTTGAAGACAGCTGTGTTTGGGATATTTTAAGAATTCCCATCACACTCAAATATCTATTTATTTTCATCAAGTTACACAATTTAAAAAACTGCTTAGACCAATGAATGTGGGTAGATGACTGTCCTCTTCACAGCTACCATCTTTCTGATTTCAAACTCTGGAAGCAAACTCAGCATCCTGAGCCTCCTCACATGCCCTCGCCAGGAGCCTGGCACCCAAGAGGCACTCCCACCCCAAGTTCCTCCACAGAGCTGAGGCAGGGCTCTACACAGCCAGACCCACGCTCAGCCACAGGCGTAGTGGGAGGTGAACACCTCGCCTGGTCTCGCTCAGCTTTTCCCTGGCCACCCCTAGACCGCAAATCTTCCTCTCCATGGCTGCTCATCAGCTCCCTTCTCAAGGGCAACTAAAAAGACAACCATGTAACTGTTAGAAACACTGCAGGCCTGGGAAGAACTCCTCAAAATGGCCAGGCTGCCCCAATGTGGACAAGAACTAGAAGCAAGACAAATAAAAAAGTAAGTCCAAGAGGGGGAAAAAAAAACCCTCTGCTTTGAGGCCATGCTGGGAGAGACAAAACCTTTATTTTATTATTTTTTAAAGATTTTATTTGTCAGAGAGAGAGACACACCCACACACACACCATGCATGTGACCGTGCGTGTGCACACAAGCAGAAGAAGTGGCAGGCAGAGGGAAAAGCAGGCACCCTGCCTGATGTGGGACTCAATCCCAGGACTTTGGGATCATGACCTGAACTGAAGGCAGACCCCTAATCGACTGAGCCACCCTGGCATCCCCAGAACCTTTGTTTATTTGTTTGTTGCTTGCTTGTTTTTTAAATGATTTTTTTAAAGATTTATTCATCTGACAGAGAGAGACACAGTGAGAGCTGGAACAGAAGCAGGGGAGTGGGAGAGGGAGAGGGAGAAGCAGGCTTCCCACGGAGCAGGAAGCCCAATGTGGGGCTTGGTCAGGACCACGACCCCAGCTGAAGGCAGCCGCTTAATGCCTGAGCCACCCAAGCGCCCCTTATGTATTTAAGATTTATTTATTTATTTGACAAAGACAGAGAGAAAGAGCACACGAGCACAAGCAGGGAGGGCAGCAGCATGCTCCCTACTGAGCAAGGAGCCCGATATGGGGCCTGATCCCAGGACCCTGGAATCACGACCTGAACCGAAGGCAGATGCTTAACTGACTGAGCCAACCAGGCGCTCCCAGAACCTTTAAAGATTCCTTCTCTGAGCTGCTCCTAGACCAGAGGTTTTCAATTTTCTCTGTGAACATAAGTCCTAGAAGAGACTATGGATAAGTGTCCACAATCAAATCAACGTGGAAAATATTGAAGAGTTAAAAAAAAGCACGACTATGTTAAGAGATCTGAGAATTACTACAGCAAAAGAATCTGCTGACTTTGTTTAATTGAGCACTGACCAAAGAACCTTCTCTCAGATAACACGTATTAATATCTGTAGGCCTACAGTGAAAAATGCCACACAGAGCTAGAGGAGTTGAAGAGGCCTGAGTGAGAATTTGAGTTTTGTTGCCTACTAGTGTTGTAACCTTAGGGAATTCACTTGCTGGGCACCTAAACCTGTTTCTTCATCTGAAATAAGGACAGAAGTAGGTTTTGGGTGTTCGCTTTGTTATACTTTACAACTTAGGTATTCTTTTATGACCACTAATGATAATAAGATTTTCTATCTTATTTGAGAGAGAGAGAGAGAGAGAGACACCATGGATGCGATGCACAGAAGTGGGGAGGGGAGGCTGATGGAGAGAGAGAATCCCAAGATGACTCTGCACTGAGTACAGGGCCCAACATCGAGCTTGATCTCATGACCCTGAGATCATGACCTGAGCTGAAATCAAGAGTCAGATGCTTAACCTACTGAGCCACTCAGGCGCCCCAATTTTAAGATTTTAAAAAGGGGGACACTGCCTCTTCCCTTGAAGGGAGAATTAGAGTTCTATGACTACATGGTTGGTACCCCCGAAACCTGTAGGGCTGTTGTGAGAATTAACTTAGATAATGCACTGTGCCTGGCACAGCATTCCCATTTACTAAGCACAGAACACAAGCCAGAGAGGCCCTGGACCACCCTGGGGGAAGCTAGAGACTTGGGTTCAGTACATGCCAAGGAAATGAGATCTGGGTTCCTCTTGCGGGGATCTGCCAGCAGAAGAGGCCTCATGGGCCCCATTCCCCAGGACTAGTTCTAGAGCTCGTTCTAGGCTCTTGTCACTCCAAACTGGGAGAATACAGGTTCAGGGTGCAAGACAGTCCTGTATGAACACAGGACTTCCCCCAAAGAGCTAAATCCAATTCCCCAAAGGTAAACCAAAGCACATTTCTAAAGCCTGAACCTGAAGTACTGGCCACAGGCAATCTTTCCTACTATTAGTAAGTATCAGTCTGTTTGACACGGCTATAGGCAACTGGGGCCCTCACCTCCCAATTCATTCAAGAAGGAGTAAACCCAGATGTCTGCCAAAACTTACCTGCCCAATACATTATATGTTAATAAAAAATTTTAAATTAAAATTAAAAACAAACAAACAAACCTTAACTGCCCCTGCTCCCCAAGGGCTCCAGAATTGTGCCACTGAACACAGGCCTCAGAAGAGCTAGTGCGGAGGTAAGACCACCTGGAACCCCAGAAATGACCGTGTCACTGAATGCACCTGAACAGCTCATTAGCACTGGTCTTCTAGAACTTCCTGGCAGCTGTGACATGGCCCACTGACCCCTCCTCAGTATCTCAGGCTCCTCTGGGAGCAGGAGGCTTTAAGTCCTGGCCAAGGAAGCTCTTCTGGCTAAACTTCAACAGAAAATGTTCAGCAGAGACCACAGAGGATTACTTACTGCTAAGGAACCTACTTACCACAAGAGAAACTATCTGCAAGTCCCAGTCTGCCAGCTTGAAACTTAATATGCCCTGGGTCCAGCCTACCCTTGGCATGAAGAAAAGTTCCAGTGCCTCCTGCTCTTTGTTTTCACAGGGAAAGGAGAAGAGGAAATACTTCATGTTGGTCAGCCTTCAGCTCCCTGCCTGGGCTGAGCCGTTTCAAGTTTCCCCCACACCATGTAGCAGTGACCAGCACCACAAGCATCAAGAGTGACAGACCTGGCTCTGTAACCCACTAGCACTATGCCTTACAGTGACTCTTAAGAGTCTTTCCTCTCCACAGGGAAGCTTTCCTCAAATCCCCCAGGATGAGTTTCCCCCACACCAACCAACCACCCACCCTCCTTTACTACTATGTCTGGCCCTGTGGAAACTGTGTTTTCCCTGTAAGACAAAGTGCTGCAAAGGCCTTATTCATCTCTGCACTCAATGGACACTAAATGAAATGTGTGTTGGGCTCAACTATTCTGTTCCTACATCTACAAAAAAAAGTTCTCACAGCAAATCCTTCCTTAGAGGATTAGGTGCAAGTTAAATGAGGAATCTGAAAAACTCTAAGGGACTGTGCAGGACTGTACATCTCTCCTCTAGGGAACAGTTTTGGAGACAGTGTTAAGGCAAATATCCAAGACAGCGACCATTCTCCATCCACTCTGTGCCCTGCCCGGGACAGAACAGAACCAGAGGTGGAGGGACTGGCCAAGATCACCAGCACTGCCAGACAACCTTCCTTCAGCTATAGCTACCTGCTCTGGGCAGCCCCCACAAGCTTGCCTCACATTCCTAATGGGCCTAGAGGATTAAGAAACTTAGCCTTTGGGGAACAGCAGCTCAGCCACCTGGGCACAGGGGTGGGATTGTGAGCTCACGCTCATTATAACCAGACCCAACCTTCTAAGAGGACACATGGCCTAGCTTTATGAGAAGTCCTGGGACTTTATGAATACAGAAGGAAGGTCAACCTGTTCCAGGTCCCAATTCTCTCCACATCAAGGTATAATTAGAGAGTAGCTAAGCACAAAAAGTAGCTCATCTCCAGAGACAATTTACCTAAACTTCAAGCATTCAACAGCGTGAAATTCAACCTCCATTTACAACTCTATGCCATCAATAGCCCATTTTGCAGAGAAAAACTAAGGCCCGGAGAGGTTAAGTTACTTACCCAAGGTCAAACAGCTAAAGCCTTCTAGAACTTCCTGGCAGCTGTGACAGGGCCCACTGACCCCTCCTCAGTAACTTAATTATAAAGTGGTGACGCTGGAACTCTAATCACACTCTTGATTTCAGTATCTACGCTATCCTGGTTTTTGGTTTTTTGGTTGGGGGAGGAGGTAGGTAATAAGAAGTAGAGAGAAAAGCCCATCTGTGTTTTCTGGTAACAAGGTCCAATCTATCCTGAGGACCTCACTGGCCTTAGAAAAGGACATTTAATACCTACCACTCCCAAGGAAGAAGTCTGCAAAGATGAGCCCATGCCTCCAGAGAGCTAGCACCGTATCTCAGCAATGGATGAACACCAACTCCCCAGGCGAAAATGGCCAGCCAGCCCTGAAACCTGCGCGGCCTGTTTACTTTCTGCTTGCTCTGAGCTTCATGATTAAGACCATGGTTTACCCACTAGCCTCCTTCCCTTTGCTGCTGCTGCCTCTTGTTAGGCCTGGCAGAACCAAGGCCAGCCAATCCCCTTGGCCCAGAGCTCCCCCTAAGAATGCACAGCACAGCCCTGACTTCATCCTGAGGTTCCTCCCCCTCCCATGGAATCAGACTGCACACAAGAGATGTGGCCCAGGACCTATCTGCCCTACTTTCCCAACTATTTTAAGCCAGAAAGCTAAATATTGCTATCAAAAGCTGAATAAGATCAGCCCTTAGAGAAGAATGAACAGGGGTGCCCACTCCACCCAATATTAGTTTTTACCTAGAAGGCACAGGCTGTGCCCAACTCTGCATGTCCCATGGCTGGGTGGTAACAGTCATTTCCAAACAGGTAGCTAATAAGGCCTGGGTCTCTGGGCATGCCGCCACAACCACAGACCACGGAGCAGTGATTAAAAGTAGCAGCAAGTAAGCAATTAGCCTTGAGGTAATTATTCTAATTAATCCAACTAAAATGTGTTTTAATCTGCCCCTTCACCCTACAGAGAACAGGAGAAAGAATGTGAAAAGAACTGATAGAAAGAGGTGAAAGATACTTATTTCCCTGGAGAACAGTATTAAGAGGGGACCCAACCAGGCCCAACATGGGAAGGTTACAAAAACAACAACAAAAACTGGGTTTGGAAAGACACTTAAAGCACTTTCAGAAGGGTCTGTGAGGCACTGCTCTAAATGCCCACATTTGGGCACTGCTGAGTCAATGTTTGCCACATGCTAACGTCTACACTGACAACTATTACACATAAAACAGTATTCCTGCCATGTAGCCTTGGAACGGGTATAGACTCTACTGCACCAACAACTAATGTCTGAGTCACATGAGAATTACTAAAAACCCTCCCCAACTGCAGAGAACCACTATCTTCATCAGCCCCCATGTTCCAATCTGCAGCTTTACAGCTCATCACTTCTGGGCTAGGATACATACCAGGAAGTCAAAGAAAGCATCCCCTCTTACCAGCCTGGGGAAAAGCCCAAGGAGCACTTAAAGAGGCACTACTAACAGACAGGTGTACATCCACCTGCATACCAAGTAAACAGAGTACACCAAGTAAGCAGGTGCTGGAAAATTAAAATTAGTGGGGGCATCCAGAACCCTAGAGCAGTGGCTCTTAATTGGAAGGATTTTTGCAGCCCTACCTACCCCAGGATAGCTGGCAATACCTGGGAGACATTTTTGGTCACCATGAAGATGAAACTGCTATTTCGTAGACAAAGACCAGGGATGCTATTAAACATTCTGCAATGCACAGACCAGCCCCTACAAAATGAAGCATCAGCCAACCCAAAATGTCAACAGTACTACTACGGAGAAGATCTGATGTAGTGTTTTGCCATGGCACGCCTCGCCAGACTCTCTGCTTCAGGTCCAGGTTGAATGGGAGAACTAAAGTCGAATACCATCAGCCTCAAGTTAGCATCTACCTGCTCCCCCCTTACCTATGGCTACTCTCTGCTACTGCCACCAAAGCTTCCGTGCTCTCCCTGCTAACTTCTTTGCTTGGCTAACTTCTAGTCACCCTTCACGTTCTACCTTATTTCCTCCTAAAAACTAACACTCCAAAATGGGTTCCCCCACCTTCAAAGTACTCCTGCAGTTACTTTCCTGGGCTGTAACTGCCCGTGGCTTCCACTGGGCTGTGAACTCCATGAAGGGAAGAGCCATGCTGTAGGCTCCACCAAATGCCTAGCCCTTTCCCCAACAAGAGAGCAAGAGATCATTAAATGGTTGTATATGAAAGCAAATATCCACTTAGGTGCCTACTCCGTGCCAGGCTCTGTATAAACACCCAATCACCGTGTTTAGTTCTAACAGGTTTTGGAAGTTGGCATTACCCCCACTTTACAGACAGGAAAGCCAGCTCAAAGAACACCCACAAGGTGCCAAAGCAAATGACAGCCGAGCTAGATTCAAAGCCTGGGGCAGCACTTTTCAGGATATGGCTGAGCCTCCCACATTAACTCTACAGCCAAGTCAGAATCCAGGAGTTGGAAGAGACTGGGAAAGCTTTAGAACTTTACTATCCCAAGGAAAAGATGAAGAAAATTTTCCTGATGATGCAATCCTGTTGATCACTAGCAGACCTGCATTTTGAGAACTTGAAACTTCTGCTCTTCAATACAGCGGGGTGTGTGTGTGCACACACTCTGGGGAACAGGAAAGCCTCAGAGTCACAAACTGTTTTTTATGACCACCCATTACACGTCCAACCACTGCTACAGCTCATGACAACCTTAAAGACCTGTGACTATATGGAAAATTATTATCCCCTTAAGAGACTAAATGGCCTTTGTGTGAGGTCCTTTTAGCATCAAGAGCCCTTCAACGAAGTCAGACACCAAACTGCCTTACAGAGTAAGCCACTTGTGAGGGTCTGCCCTGGAAATCCCACCTTAAAGGGTTCTACTAAGACATCAATCTGGGATCACCACTTAGATCTAAGGACAAGCTTGGAAGCCCAAATGACAAAGGGGCACTGACAGATAAGTGGCTGTCTTACATTTCAGATGCAAAATACTGTTTTGGCTACCACTGACTTCCCAAACTTCCCCGTGAGGAGACCTTGGGATATCACAAGGCTCTGCTGCCACCCCCAAATACAGACGCAGCCTCAGCTGTTAAACTCAAATGAGACTGGTGACCTGCCTCATATTAAGAGGACTCCAGGGTACCGGCTTCTCCCCAGGACCAGGGCCCATGGCACAGACTTCACAGGTTAAGCGGGTCACAAAAACTCGGCATGTCCTGATCCTATACTAGAATTCAGTGGTCAAGCAGCGGGTCTGAGAAGCTGCAGTCTAGAGCTCCTAAGAGGTTTTGGGGATTACTGAAGTACAGTGCTAGGTTACTTGTTCTAGGGCTGGAAGGACACAGCCTCCAAACAAATATTCCACTTTATATAAACAACAAAGGGGTTCCAGCAGGCAACCTTTTTGGGGGCCAGGGTACTGAGTGAATTCTCAGCAGGATCTGGGACCCAAAACAGGCCAAGAACCTAAGTTCTGTGGCTGACGCAACTACAAAGCCAAATACCAGGTAAAGAGATCTGCTTTATTTGGTTTCATAGGGCCCCGGTAACAGGTAACACATTCTTACAAAGGCCCAACAGGCTCTTCGGCAGACAGAATTTTCAGAGTCCACTGCACCCTATTTCTGCCCCAGCACTAAACTATCTGACTCCAGTGAAGTCACTCCCTGTGCTGGGAAGAGAGAATGTGTTATCTATTACTCTCAGGGACCTTCCTCCACATTTTCTCTGTTAAGAAATCCTCACACATGTCCTCCGTTTTTCTGTTTTTGTTTTTTAACAAACATGAAAACAGCAGAGTTGGAGAGACTTTCAGATAGGAGTTCAACTTATTTTTCAGAAAAGCACAGATCTGGAAACAGAGACCCAGAAAAAGAAAAAGTGACTTGCTAAAATCACGCACAGAAACAGCCTCCTTAAATCTCAGCCTTCTAGAAAGATGCCTTTGTATCAATTCCTGGTCAAGCCTGCGTGATCATGCCAAACCTGCCCTCGGAATACAAAATTCTAGACTGGTATCCTGACCGATCCCTACTTTATTACTACACTGTTTTAAACACAGACCCTTTTTCCCTCCACACCCTCCTCCCCCCAAAACCAGAAGAATGGGTCAGAACTGTAAAGCGCGGGCTCCTGTCTGCTGCTGCCCTGCGGGTGAGGGTGGGCAGCTACGGCAGCAGGATGCAGGGCCGCCCCCTCCTCCCAGGTGGGTTACCTGAGCACAGTCACGCTTCCCCTGCGCACTGGCAAGGAAAGCACCGGTTCCGACACCCGGATAGGCTTGAACTGGAACTTGCAGCCGAAGCAGAGCGCCGAGTCGCTAAAGAAGGACACGGACACGATGGGGCGCTCGAAGATGTGGATGGGGTCCACGTGAGACACGATGCAGCCGCCGGGCTGATAGTCGTTGATGACGGCGCTGTTGACGAAACCCTCGGGGATGACGCGGTGCTCCACCAGCTTCTGGATCACCAGCTGGTGCACCCACTCGGGGATCTCGTCCACATCGCCCGGCGGGTAGAGGCGCTCCTGGCCAGGCCCGCGCTTCTGCAGCTGGGCACCGTACGTGTAGCCCTCGCCAAAGAAGTACTTGTTGCGCAGCGGGGCCCGGTCCACCGTGTGCTCGTTGTACAGGCCCTTCTCCGCGCGGGACACCACCTCGTCGATGCGGGCCTCGATCTTGGCGCACTCGTCCTGGCTGAAGAGGCGCATCTGGCGAATGCCGCTCTTCACCTTGCGCGCCTCCTCCTCTTTCTGCAGCTGCTGCTCCTCGTAGTCGCTGCGCTCGGGGTCCGAGTCCTCCTGGTACTTGCGCTTAGCCCCGGACACCGGGTAAGGCTCGGCGGCGGCGGCGGCGGCGGCAGCGGCGGCTACGGCGGCGGCGGCGGCGGCCGCTGCCTCCCGGCTGCCCGCCTTATAGTTGTCCCGGGACGTCATGGACTTGAGCTTCTCACGCAGGTCCGTGTAACCGCTGGCGGCCGCCATGGCCCCCGCGACGTTGCTCTAGGGTCCTCCGGGGGGGGAGGGGCGGCCGGGCATGGCTCTCGGAGGACGCGCCCCGGCGCCCCGGGAGAAAAAGTGTTCCTCAGCGCCAAGCCCCCATGCGAGACCGGGGGACCCGGCGGGGGGCGTAGAGGGACCGGGCGCGGGGTCGGGCCTCAGGGGCGGGGGGTCAGGCAGCTGTGGAGGCAACGGGGCTTCCTCCTCCTCCACCTTCTCCACGTCCCAGAGACCAAGGGCGCCGGCAGCGCCTCATGCCGCGGAGGGCCGCCGCGGAAGACCGACCCGACTCCCAGCCAGACCCTCAGACGCCCGGCCCAGCCCGCACTTTAAAGCGCTCCTCACGACGTCACGGGCCGTCCGCCCGACGTCCGCCAGCGCCGCTCCTCAGCGGGCTCTTCTGCGCGCACGCGCAATGCCGCCGGCCACCGCGGCTCCACGCGCAGCGGGCATGCGCGTGCGTGTAGGCCGGGTCACCGGAGGCGCCGGCGCAAGCGCAGACGGGGACCGCTCGGCGTCCGCCGCCCCTCCCCCACTCACTGAAGGGCTCCGAGGGAGCACCCTCAAATAGCAACCTGCCTCCTTGACGCGCCACCTCCGCGACCGAAGGGCTCCCTCCACAGGGGTGCGCTCACGCTGTCAACACTGTCGCTATGCTGCGTCACGGCATCGTCCAAATGCTCGAAAACGCCTCAGCCCTCAACGCGCAACCACCGGGGAACCGCCACAACCTAGGCTGCCCCGTCACCGCCCCCTTTGGCGTTTCCAGTTCTTTCATTGGGCCACCGGCCACGCGCCGGGCGGGCCCAGACTGCAGCTTCCGGAAGTTGGTTTGCATGCAAGCCTGTCGATCAAGCGGTCGCCTTGGCTACTGCGTCCGTCACTTAATTAGCTGCGTGGAGGGCGTCGAGGACCCCTGAAGGGTGAATGGGTGGCTATGTAAGTGCCCGAATCTAGACGCCAACGGAGAAAAGCCCTCAGACTCCTTAGGAAACTTATGAAACCAGCAGAAACTTTTCAAACTGCGGGGCCGAGAGCACCGGGTCCCAGCTCTAAGTCCAAACGGCGACGGCCGCAGAAGCGGGACTCAGGGGGCACCTCCCTGCCCCCCACCCCGGTCGTCCGGAGTGGACGTTCCACGAGTCACGTCCCGGTGGCGGCGGGCGCGTGCGCAGCCGCGGGGCGCGCGCGGGGATTTGGCGTCGGTTTTCCTTCGCGTTAGAGATGGGTATAGGGGCTCCTCTTCGAAACGACAGAAGGAAACTCAAGGGGACAAGTAGACTCACGGTGAAGGCAATACTATAGCTGATTACCGGGGACGATTCCAAAGTTTTGAAGCCGTGCGGTTGGACAGCGTGCGCGGAGTGGGCAATGGCGTGGCGGTTCCGCGAGGGCCGGGTCCCCAGCCAGGGTTTCTTCTCGAAAACCTCCCGTGGCTCCCGGGATCGAGTTCACCTGTTTCGCTTGGCGTTCCAAGCCTTTGTTTGAGACCTTTCGGGCCTCGACCCCTCTACCCTCCCGCGAACTCTGAGCGCCAGCGTTGCTCAAACTCTGTCACACCTCCTGGCCTTCGCCCAAGCTGTTTCTATCTCCTGAAATGCCAGTTCCTTTCCACCATCTCCTTCATGTTGATTTTTTTGAGCCTCAGCTCACCTCCCTAGCAGCCTTCCCGGACACACACTGAAATGAGATGGCGTCTTTGATTTCGTGATTTAGCCTCTGCATCTGCCTTCAGCCTCACCTCCCTGGCCATTTTGCGCCCAGCCCACGTGTGTGTCTGCATCTCTCCACGGCCGCCCACCACCACCCCCCCCGACCCCCAACTTGCCAAAGCACCAGACTGTCAGAGGTTTGAATCTTGGACGGGCCAATGGGCTCTCTGACCCCGGGCCGTGACTTACCCTCTGAACCTCAGTCTGGTGGTCTGTAAAATGGCATAACCTTAGTACCCCATCATTTGGTAGTTGTGAGAACTAAACGACGTCCTGTATGTTAAGCAGAGGGGATTGTACACTTGTAGTCAGGGTCTCAGTTTCCAAACGGAAGGGCCTATCAGTTGCTGTTGGGAAGTGTGCATTGTGTTGTTGCTGGGCAAGGCAAGGCCGGCAGGGCCTGTTTGATGGGGAATCCTGGACACCTGGCTGGGACTCTAGTGCTGTCCCCAAGCTCCCTGCTGGGCCACCTTCCTTCCTAAGAAGCAGCAGGTGCAACAGAAAATGCTGCATGCCGGGTGCCTATAGTAAGTTTGGCTCCTGCCCCTTTCTGACACAGCCTAGTGGGGGCGCTGATGGTGGTGCTGGTAGGAAGGCAGCTGCAGGTTGTGAGAAGGTGGCCAGTGGGCAAGGTTGTGGTCAGGCATCAGGGGCTCCCGTTTCAGTTGTGCCTGGGCCATGCTGTGTGAACGCATGGGCAGGGACCCCTTTCCTGCATAATGAGCAATTGGCCTGTGGTGGCTCAGGCCCTTCAGAACCCAGCACCCACCCACCTTTAAACTGCCCTCTAACATGGGGGTGGGGGGCACTGGATTCTGCCCACACACCTGCTTGACAGGGAGGTCACCATCACACAGTCATAAAATCCTTCCAGAGACTCCTTTGCAGAGCCCAACTTCTCTCACCCAGCCAAGGATGAGGATCACCTCTTCTCTGGGTCTCAACGACCCCTCCCATCCCAGACCCCTCATGGTAAGCTTCCTCGTGCTCCTTTCTGATTCTTCTGGAGCCAGGGCCCTCCCTTCTCTGAGCCTCAGTGAGAGACAGCCACCAACTCTGGAGCCAGCCTGCCTGTGTTCGAATCTTGCCTAGGCCACTTAGTGATTACCTGCTTCATCTCTGTGGGCCTCAGTTTTCCCATCTATGAAACAGTGATAATAGTACCCACCTCATTGGGGTACTTGAGGGTTAAGTGCATCAGTGTATGTAAAATGCCTGGTGCAGAGTAAAAACTTGGTAAGAATTAGCTTTTTAAAGGAAAAAAATGTCTTCCCCATCCCCACCCCGGACATGCATTTGTATCCTATGCTGGACATAATAATGACCCCTTAGGAAATATTTGCTCTAACACCTCTGTCAGTGCAGAGGCTCAGAGGGGGCAAGATGCAAAAGGCCATACAGCTAATCAGGAAATGTGGAATTTGAACACAGTCCTCTCTGGCTCCACAGCGAAGATTCTCTTAATAGGCTTGTGGGTTCTGGGCAGCAGCTGGCACCCCCAGGCAGGGGGAACCAGCAAGGAGAGTATATGGACACCGGAACCTGCAAAGTCTAGCCACTTGTCCCACACAGGGGATGCAGTGAAGTCCTTCTGGTTACTTTTCAGTGCCCAAATATGGTGCCTCCTGCCATACCCATCTGGGACCTCAAGCCTGTACCAGTTGACTGTCTCGGGCTCCCAGGCCACCTAGACCTTTCTTCTGTGTGGTTCTCACCACACGCTCAGCTGGGAACCCTAAGGCTTGGTCCCTTCTGCTCTGGATCTCCCCACACTTACCTGGAGTTCCTTTCTAGGGCCTGGTCCAGGTAGAAGGACCCAGTGTCGTACCCCTACGGTGCCTGAGGGACACAGCAGGGTCTGACTCTCCTGTCACCCCTGACTCTCCTCTCTGCCTTGTGGGGATTGTGACCTCCTTTTACAAGGGCTTGAATTGATAGGTCCTGAAATCCCCAAAGCTCTGGTGTTTGGGTTGTCCAATGCTATGTATAGCAAACTACCCCCAAAACTTAGCCTTCGGTCACCTTTCCAGCTCAGATCTGCAGCCCGGCCAGGGGGGCGGGGCTAGAAGGCTCCTCTCGGTTCCATGTGCATTAGTAGGGCTGCTCAACCTCAAGGAGCCGCTTCCAAGGGGCCATGTTCACACGGCCCACCTGGATTCTGAAACCCAGAAAGCCTCTCACCTCTCACCTGGGCAGAGTAATTGCAGCAGGGGTAGCCTGATGGATAACGCACTCTTTCCAGCCCCTTTCCACTTCCCTCACCTCCCAAATCAGCTACATGCGCTGGACTGGCTTTGGGGGAAGCCAGCCCGACAGTGCTACAAGTGGGACAGCCCCGTGGCATATGAAGGGCTCTTCGTTGAACTTCCCTGTCTCAGAACTTCCTTGAGATTCCAACTTCTCCCCGCCTGTCACCACCACCAGTGTCCACACCACAGAGTTCCCTGGCTGACACGACAGCAGCCCCCACTTTGGTCTCCCTGGCCCCTACATTCTCTCTGCTCTGTGGTCTGAATGAAGTCTGATCTGAGCAGATTACCCCCTCTCCCACCAAAAAACCTTGAAGGCTCCTCATCACTCTTGGGATGAAATCCTAAATCCTTAGCGTAGCCTGCAGGCCTGACTCCATCCACCCATGCTGGCCTCTTCGGTCTCAAGTCTTCCATGAGTAATGTCCACATGCTGTTCCCTCCCCTCCTCACCTGCTCAAGTCCCACTCACAGACCTTGTCATGGTTTATAGCCATTTCACTGTGAGCAAGTCCCAGGGCTTGGCATTTGCCAAGTACACAGCAGGTGCTTAATAGGTACCGAATGAGTAAATACATTGGTCCTCAAGCACCATGGCTCCAGCCCTCACATAGCTATCCAGCCTTCTTCTCGCAAGCCTAGTGCTTCTGTCCTCCCCAAGTTCCCCAAAACACCAACACTTTCCATCAACATTTATTTATTCTTTTATCCATGTAACAAATGCTTAAGTGCCCACTCTGTGATAGGCATTGTCCTAGGCTCTGGGGGGAGAACAGTAGGGAACGAACACTGTTTTCTCTGTTTGGAACGTTCATTCACCTTCCTTCCATCTATTCCTAGCAAACGTCTACCCATCCTTCAAAACCCAACACCAATGTTCCCTTCTCTAAGGAAGCCGTTCCCAGACTTCTTCCTCCCCAGACTCTGATGTGAAACTTCTCTCTCCCACCACTATACCCCTCTCAAACCTTGCATAAGCCATCCAGTGATGGGGGCCTGGGGTTGAGGCCACCTAAGGAGTGTGGAGTTGGGGGACAGGGGTCTGCAGGGAGAGGTAGGGACAGGTCTCTGCTAGAAGCTGTAATCACAGGCAGTGAGTCAGGGGCCCAGCTGGGCCTCCAGTTCCTGCCTCCTCCCTTAGACTGCTTTTCCAGCTACTCAGCAACTGCATGGGGGCGGGGGGAGGAATGGCTGCCAGGCACATCTTTTATGTGCACAGACATGACCAAGGGTCCCAAATCCCAGCTGACCAGCAGTGCACAGAGCACTCAAGGAGGACACGTGAGGGGCTGAGATGTGGGGCTGGGGCAGACTTGAACATCAGACCTGGGGTGCCTGGGTGGCTCAGTGGGTTAAGCTTCTGCCTTCGGCTCAGGTCATGATCCCAGGGTCCTGGGATCGAGCCCCACATCGGACTCTGCTGAGCAGGGGGCCTGCTTCCCTTCCTCTCTCTCTGCCTGCCTCTCTGCCTACTTGTGATCTCTGTCTGTCAAATAAATCGG